GAAAATGCAAACACATTAAGTATCCAGGGTCCTGTTAGAGGTGTGGCAGCTGAACATTTGCCAAGAGGGTGTGCCCCTACTCCATCTGGTCTACAGCTTTAATGCCTTATTAAGGGTGAGGCTGAGGGAAGAGAGAGATTAGGCCAACCCAGCCCAGCCACCAAAGAGAACCCTAGAATGTTCGAGCTGGAAAAGACTTAAGAGGCCACATATGCATCCAACCTCCTTATATTACGGAGCATGGGATCATAGACTTAGAGGGGGAGGAGACCTCAGAGGCCACTAGCCTAACCTCTCCATTTCACAGATAAAGAGACAGAGGCCCAGGGAGGGGAAGTAACTTTCCCAAGATAGAGGAACTGGGAGTACAATTGAGGTTTTCTTAACTCCCAGTTCAGGCAATTCTCCTTCTACCACATCACAAATCACAAGACCTGGGGGTGTTGCATAAACAATTAATGACAAAGACAGAAACATTTTCATTTGGCTTCCTCCCCACTCCCAGACATTTCTTTCTTCTCTTTCACCAGATGAAGCTTATAGTGTTTGTTTTGCCACATGGCTTGGATGTTGCTGTAGTACTGCATATGGATGCAAAGACCAACATGGGTTCTAGACTCAGCTCTGCCACTGACTTGTTGGGTGACCCTAGGGGAAGTATCTCACCTCTCTGGGCCTCAGTTTCTTCATCTGTAAAATCAAGGGCCTGAATTAGATCAGTGGTTTCCCCAATGATTGGTTTGCAGATCCCCAAATATGCAAATATACCTTCTATAGGTTAAAAAAAAGTCACAGATATGTATATCATGATTTATCAAATGTACCTAGAGCTATTATGACTATTAAAACAAATTCACTTGTTGAATTCATGGATTGTCAGTGTGCATTTTCTCAATCAATAGACACAAATAGTTTAACTCCAATCCCATGGGAGTCTGAAAATATGTTGAGTTAAAAGAGGTCTTTATATTCAAAAATGTTCAGAATCACAGTTAGACAAGAGGATCCCTAAAACTTCTAGTTTTTCTGTGATTCTACAGTCACAGGAATTAACGCGAGAAGAGTCTCACTCCTACTCCCTTTGCCCCTAGCTTCACTTATAGTTAGTGAAGATCCATTCATTCATCACAGCAGGCCGAGAATTTTGTTGACTCTGACAGCAGAGTGAGAGGCAGTCTGGTTTGGTGTGTAGTGAAGCAGCCCTGGTACCAAAAGGAACTGGGCTTGAGTCCCCCTTAAGCCACATACTAGCTGTGAACCTGGGCAATCACCCCTTCTCAGGGCTGTGGGCAGCACTCTATATCAGGGATTCTTCACCTTTTTTTGGTGTTTCGGACCCCTTTGGCAGTCAGCCTGGTGATGCCTAGGGAGGTCTTCTCGGAATATGGTTTTTAATTACATTAAAAAAAACATAGGATTACAAAGAAAATCAAAGGTCAGTGGAAAAAAAAGATGTAATTTCTCCCCCATTCAAGTTCACAGACCTCCTGAAATCTATCCACAGACTCCTTTGGTGTCTACTGACCCCAGGTTAAGAACCTCTATTCTAAGCCTGTAAGTTGCAGAGAAGGTGCTGACCCACAATGGAAAAGGGGGGGCGGGAGGATCAGGGTTTCCTGACCTTGGAGTACCCTTTACCAATGAAATCACAGGTGCAGCTCATATCCCTATCCTGAAAGCAGAACCCAAACTAACTTGGTTTCTACACCCATATTTGGTTATATTTAGATGTTCAGTGTTCCCATTTCTCTCCTTTTCCCTCTGACTTATAATGATAGATCAAATTTGAGTTTTGTCCCTTTGGACCTCTGGGGATTCTAAGGAATATTTGATGACCAGAGTTTCCCTTTAGGGAACTGGAGGATGCTATAAATTTTCTTTTGCATTTTCCCTTTTTTTTTTTTGAAACTGTTATTCCTAAATTTAGATCTTTTCTTTCATTTCCAAATAAATGATCCTTTCATTTTCACCCTATTTGGGGCATTTTTCCCCAAGTGCATGGAGCTCATGCTAACAAATAAACATCAATTCAATTAATTCCATTTTCATTGTTGTTGTCATTATGTATATTGTTTTCCCATTTATGCTTACTTTACTCTGCATTTGTTCATATGTCATCTCATGACTCCCTACATTTTTCTTATTCATTGTTTCTTACAACACAGTAATATTCCATTACATTCATGCAGGACAACTTGTTTAGTCATTTCCCTGTTGATAGGCATCTACTTTATTTCTAGTTCTTTGTTACCACAAAAAAGCTCTGCTGTAAATATTTTGGTGTAAATCAATAATTCAGTTCATCAGATAATGACTGAGTATTAACAGTGCAATCAGGATTGGGAGAAATATACTCAGCTACAGCAGGGTCCCTGGCCTCAGGGAACTCGCAGTCTGATGGAACTGAACAAATGTTTCACTGACAGATGGAATTATATTTGTTTTGCCTTGACTCATAACGAGATAATGACAAAAAGGAACTCCCCTCTCTCCAACTTACATTCCTAATCTACCTAATTTTATATACTATGCCATTATTATTTCAGATTTTTTCTTAACATAGATAGAAATGGAAACATTTTGCTTGATGACTATTTGCCTAAATCCACTGTCATTCAAGAAACCGGCGTTGTCATTCACACCAGGGGGTGAAAAATAACTGAACATGGAGGCTATATTGTTCAGATTATGAGATATAGCCGAACTGGCCGTTAGCAGAGTTAGGCCTTCAGTCCCTATTGCTGGGATGGGCACTGCAAGTGGATAATGAACTGGGACGGGCACTGATAGATAATGAGCTTAGCCTAGAACTGAATAGGAGGAAAGCAGATAGATCCCAATTAGGAAATGGTAGAGCCCTTTTCAATATGATTCCATGCACTGCTCACTGCTGCCAAAGTACTTTTTTTTCAAAAGCAACATTCTCACAGTGATACTATAATTATGGGATGATTTAGAAGAATCAAAATTGCAGATCTCCCAAAGGGGAATGGAAAGACTCGTGATGAGTATAGGCAGGCAACTGCATGGTGCACTGACCTGAATCCAACTCTGGCCTCAGACATTTACTAGCTGTGAGATCCTGGGCCAGTCTTGTAACCTCTGTTTGTCTTAATTTCCTCCACTATAAAATCAGGATCATACTAGCACCTACCTCCCAGAGTTGTTGTGAGGATCAAATGAAATGATATTTGTAAAGCAATTAGCAAACTGCCTGGCATATAGTAGGCACTTAAATGCTCACTTGTAGTCCTTCCTTTCCCTACCTTCCCTTCCTTTCCCTACCACAACCAATAGCGACTTACTTGTGAAAGTAATGTAAAGCACAGCATCATGGACAGGTAACAGCTATCTAGCTATCATCTATCTATGTAATGTCTGTTTACAAAAGACTGGAAAAAGGTGAAGGGCCACTCATGCTGTGAAAATGAAGGATAATGGATGTTTTAAGCTGCTCTACAGGCATCCACAAAATGGAAAAAGTTTTAAAAGAAGGCCTGCAGCCTATTGAGTAGATCCATCATAGGGGATTTTTTTTTAGCAAATAATTTCATTTTTTCAATTAATGAAAATCTATTTTCTTTCCTCACCTCCTTGTAAAACGTGCCTAGTCAAGCAAACAATTTCCTATCGAAGATTTATAGACAACAACTGCCTAGGATAGGAAGAAGGGTAGAGTTGGGGAGCATCACCAGTGGAGAGAACATTCATCTATTTATTTAAAATATAACATTCCCATGACTTTTTTTTTAAAATTCTTGTTCTATCCTCTCAGGCAGCTCTAGCTAATGTGGAGCAGCTTGATATTCCAAGGCAGCCTCTGAGCAAATCCAAGGGCATTGGAAGAACACATTAAATTTTACTAGGTCATTTACAGAAAATTACAAACTCAGTAGAAGAGGAAACAGGTAAATAGGTTAATGGCCATTGTTCTTAGTTACTAAAGAAGTTAACATTGACTATCTTCTGTGTCTCAGTAAGGCTGCTTGAAGGACTAAAAATAATAATAGTAACAAGCATTTATATTGTGCTTTATGGCTTACAAAATGCTTTATAGAAATTATCTTATTTGATCCTCAAAACAACCCTGGAAGGTAGGTGTTCGTATCCCCACTTTACAAATGAGGAAACTGAGGCAGAGAGAGGTTAAGTGACTTACCCAGGGTCACACAGCTAGGTCTGATTTGAACTCATGCCTTCCTGACTCTTGGTTTAACACTCTATCCACTGTACCATCTAGCTGCCTAAGGAAAAAGGGTAAGTGGCCCTCCAAATCCTCGGGATTTCAGAGATAGAACCTGATACTGACCACCTTTTTTAACAGGCCTCTGGCCATTTTAGTGCCTGGGGGAAGGGAAGAGAGGCATCACTGTGGGCTGGATCTGGGTATCAGTCCTGACGCTGCCTCTTACTGCTCATGTGATCATAGCCTAGTAGATTTGGAACTAGAAAAGACTTCAGATACCATCTAGCACAACACCAACATTGTATAGATGAGGGAACTGAGGCCCAGACAGGGTAAGTGACTTGCTGTACATCAGAAAGTGTCAGAGGCAGAATTCAAACCCAGGTCCTTTGACTCTAGAGCTAATTATCTTCCTACCCTACCACATTGGATCTAAGACAAGTCATTTCAAATGTCTGAGGCTAAGTCTCCTTATCTGTAAAATGGAAGTAATAACACCTGCCTTGTCTATTTCACAAGATTGTTGTAGGAATCAAGGGAGATGATGTACATGAAAACACTCTGTTGTACTAATGTAAAGGACTTTTATTATTATTAATAAGTCAATAGCTGTTTCCTCAGGGAAAGGAAATAATAGTTCTTTTCAAATGTTATCATATCTCTAGGATTTGCTGGATCATAGGATCATAGATTCAGAGCAGAAAAGAACCTGAAATATCATCGAATCTAAACTCCTTGTCCAGAATTTTCCCCTCTGCACCTCTTCTGTTGACCCTTCTGCCCTTCCAAATCTAGTCATCATGGGTTAACTTACCCAACGTCAAGAGAATTCAGAATCAGAATTGAGATGAGAATTTTCAGGCTTCCAGATTCCAAGTCCTAAGGCCAGACCACTAGACCATGCCCCTGAAAGAGAAGATAGATACGTGCTGTCATTCACCTACCCATGTATGCTTAACAAGTCTCTGGAGCGGAAGCCCCAAGTGTGTACATCAGGCTGCAAACTTCTTTTTGAGTCTGTTTGCTTTTTTATTAAATCAGTCTGCTAGGCTGTGGAGACTCTGCCACCTTTATACTGAAATAAATAAAAATCACAGTTCCTGGCTTCAGGCCTAGCTTTTAATTGCTAGATGTTTCTAGTAGATGGCTCCAGCAGGCATGATCAGAAGCTGCCTTCTGAGAAAAGGAGCAGCCAGCCTCAATTTCTGAAAGTGCCCTGCATAGTAATAAGGAAGGTGGGTGAGAGAGGGACACTGGGGGGAGAAATGTCTAGAGCAAATGCAACACTGTCAGTGGGAACTGAAAAACAAAAAGAAAACTTGTTGGTGAATCATGAACTCTTATCATGAGGCCGCTAGGTGGCGCAGTGGATAGAACTCTGAATCTGCAGGAAGTCCTGAGTTCAAGTGTGACCTCAGACCCATACTAGCTGTGTGACCTTGGGCAAGTCACTTTACCTCTTGACTATAAAATGAACTCTCATAGCACTTCCTTTGTGCCTCTTTCACAGCCTTGACCATTCTGCCTTGTAGTATTATATTTATTAGGCTCGTTGGATTCTAGTGGCAGAGAGGAAAGGATCTCACAGATAATCTAGCCCATGGGTTCTTTGCGATTTTTGTTGCATAGCACTGTAGTGAAACCAATGGACCCTTTCCAAAATCATGTTTCTAAATGCATAAGATGAAATATGAAATATTACAAAGAAAATTAATTATGTTGAATATCAAAATTAATATAAAATATATTTCTAACAAAACAGTCATAGACCTCAGGTTAAAACCCCCCAATCCAGTCCAAATACCTCATTTTACAAAGGAGGAGACTGAAGTCCAGAAGTCAAGTGATTTTTCAAAGTTAATTTAAAAAAGAAAGGACTCAAATCCATTCCTCCTGACTCCAAGTTCAGTACTTTTTTTTCTTTTCTTTTTTTTTTTTTTGGGTGAGGCAATAGGGGTTAAGTGACTTGCCCAAGGTCACACAGCTAGTATATGTCAAGTGTTTGGTCTGAGGCTGGATTTGAACTCAGGTTCTCCTCACTTCAGGGCCGGTGCTCTATCCACTGCGCCACCTAGCTGCCCCTCAAGTTCAATGTTGTTGATACTATTACTAATAGCTAACATTTATAAAGCACTATATACCAGGCACTGTGTTAAGCACTTGACAAATATCTCATTTGATCCTCATAACAACCCTGGGAGATAGGAGCTATTAAAATTCCCATTTTATAGATGGGTAAATAGAGGTTTAGTGACTTGCTTGTCAAGTATCAGAAGCCAAATTCGAATTCAGGTCTTCCTGACTCTAGGTTCAGTACTCTGGTCACTATACCACCTACATACTACATAAAACCAAACTCCCTAAATAGTCCACAGGTTCCTTTCTTTCTTTCTTTTTACTTCTAAATTTTTTTAACTTTTTTCCAATTACATATAAAATTTTTTTAAAAAATTTTGAGTTCCAAATTTTCTGCCTCTCTCCTTCCCCCACCCCCCTCATTGAGAAGGCAGCAATTTGATATAAGCTCTGCATGTGCTGTCGTGAAAAACATAGTCTGCAAGTTTCTTGAAGGGAGGGACTCAGATGTGTATTTCTTCCTCTTTTCCCTCTCCCTATACATTCAGGAGGCAGCAAGTTGGTGCAATGAATAGAGCCCCAGGCTTGGAGTCAGGATCTCATGCTCCTGAGTTCAAATCTGGTCTCAGACACTTAATAGCTGTGTGGCCCAGAGCAAGTCACTTAACCTTGTTTTCCTCAGTTTCCTCATCTATAAAATAAGCTGGAGAAGGACATGGCAAACCATTACAATATCTTTACCAAGAAAACCCCAGATGGGGTCACAAAGAGTCAGACAGGACTGAAAAAAACAACCCAACAACAAAAATATATTCAAAAGAGTGCCTAGAATCCTCTACACTAGGAGCGAGGAGCCTGGGGATGGAGTCAGAGGATATGGGTTTGAATCATAACTCTATTACTTGCCATGTGTGAGGCATTAGGTACGCCACTTAATTTTCCTGGGCCTGTTACCTCATCTGTAAAATGAATCAGATTGAGTAGAGCTCTAAGATTTCTTCCAGATTCTGAACAATGCAATGACCAACCAAGATTGTAGAGTACTAATGATGAAGCAGGTACTCATCTGCTGACAGAAACATAATGGACTCAAGATATACAATGAAACTTATTTTTTTGGACATTGGCAATGCAGGAAATTTTTTTTTTTGCTTAATCATTCATATTTGGTACAAGGATTGTGTGTGTGTGTGTGTGTGTGTGTGTTTAATGGGTCTGGGTGGGAAGGAGAAAAGGATTTTATTGATAGGGTCCCTTCCCCAAATGAGAAGAGGGCTGGACAGACAAGACAATCACAGACAAGAAGATAGCTTTGAAAGTCAAATGTTGATTTTATTTTTATTCCTGGCTTAAGGGACAGTCTTTGCAAAGGCCCAGAGTTAGGAGCATGGAGAACACCAGGTAGGTCAATTGGTTCAGAAGAGCAGTTCTCTTGCAAACTCTATTAAAGGACCAATTCTGACAAAAGTTACTGGAAAAACTAGAAATCAGTCTGGCAGAAATTGGTTTTAACAGGTTTTATTTTTTATTATTCTGAACTTGACAAATATCAGCAAACATGAGCATTTTCATATGCAAAAAAGAACAGAAAAAGTTTATATGTATCTCTAATAAAAAGTCATGTATCTCTAAAAAAAAAAAAAAGAAGAGCAGTTCTCAAACTTCTGAGGCTTGAGACCCCTTAACACTTAAAAAATTGAGGACCTTCCACAAAGAGTTTTTACGTGGCTTATATCTAACAATATTTATAATATTACAAATTAAATATCTTAACATTATTACAAAAATAGCTTTGACAGGCGGATATGTCCATCAAATAGTTGGATATGTAGACTGGGAATAAAGAGAAAGACAAGGCCTGGATAAATTTGGAAATCATCTGAATAGAGACATTAGTTGAACCCATGAAAGCGGATGAGATGAGCGGGAGAGAGGACAGAAAGAAAAGAGCCCAGTGAAGAACTGTAACATATACCTGCCCAAAGGGGCAGAAAGGGATGATGATTTTCATCTATGGGACTCCATCTTCTCACCTGTCAAACCCGGATAATAATATCTGTGGAATCTATCTCACAGGGTTGTCCTGAGGTCCAAATGATAAATGTGCAGTCAGTTGTTATTATGTAGAAATTCCCAGAGTAACTGAACTCTACATTTGTATTGTATTTAATAACTTTCAAAATTCTTTAATGTAAATTAAAGCTAACAATAATCTCTTCTGTGTGTATATAACACCTTAGAGTCTGTGGCCAAGCAGGCATGGTTTCTCCTGTTTTACAGATAAAATATCTGATTTCCAGAAAGTTTAAATCATTTGCAAGAGGGTCCAGAGAAGAGCAAGTATGATAATAGGAAAGGACATCAAGACCCCTCAGTACCAGGATCAGTTGAAGGAACTGAGACTACTTATCCTGAAGAAGAGAAAACTTTGTAGATACCTTTAAGTCACTTAACCTTGTTTGCCTCAGTTTCCTCATCTGTAAAAAGAGCTGGAGAAGGAATGGCAAACCAATCCAGTGTCTTTACCAAGAACATCCCAAATGGGGTCACAGAGAGTAGGACATTCCTAAAACAACTCAACAACAGCAAACCTTCAACCCTTTCCGGGCCTGTCAAGTAGAAGATGAAGCAGGTTGGTTCTGCTCGGTTCCAGTGAGCAGAATGAAAAACAGTGAGTAGAAGAGGCAGAGAGGAAGACTTAGGCTTAAGGTAAGAAACAATTTCTTCACAACATCAGCTATCTGGAAATGCAATGGGCTACCTTGAGAAGCGGTAGACTCTCCCTTCTGGGAGGTCATCAGGCCAAATGTAGATAACCACTTGTTGGAGATTTTGTAGAGGGAATTCCTATTCAAGTAACAATTGGAACGGATGGCTTCCAAGTCCCTTCCAACTTGGAGATTTTATGATTCTGACTTGTCCAAGTACTGAGCCAGTTAGAGTCAAAGCCAGGACTAGAATTCTAGTCAATGCTCTTTGCTATAGAAACTCAAATATCTCTTTATATCTGAACTCAAAGAGCATACTTGTATGCAAGAAGGATTCCTTTTTTTAAATGCCCCATTTAAATTCTCAAGTTCAACATTAAATACCCAGGGGCTCCTCTTTCCTGGCTCTGCATAGAGCTCTCTTTGGTGCTATGCACAGACAATGAGTGCTATTAGGAGTCCTCAGGAAAGATCTTTATGCCAGCCACCAACCTTGCTTGCTCCTACTTCCACCACGTTTGCACGCTCCAAGTACTTCTGCCATTATTGAGGGGGCTCCTTCCACATTACATATTGCAGCCCTGCTCCCAACTCCTTAATAAATAATCTCCATGAATTTTCTCAGCCATAGAGTCGCCCAGTGACTCATCTTCTAGTGATGAGCCCTTCTGGGTTTGTCCAGGCTGCTCCCAGCTCTGCATATGGTAGGCACTTAATAAGGGCAGCCAGGTGGCACAGTGGATAGAGCACTGGACCTGAAGTTAGGAAGACTCATCTTCCTGAGTTCAAGTCTGGCTTTACACACTTCCTAGTTGTGTGACTCTGGGCAAGTCACTTAACCCTGTTTACTTCAGTTTCCTTATCTGTAAAATGAGCTGGAGAAGGAAATGGCAAACCACTTCAGTCTCTTTGTTAAGAAAACTTAAAATGGGGTCATGAAGAATCAGCATGGCTAAAACAACTGAACAGCAACAACAAAAGGCACTTTTATAAATATTTATTGAATTAAATTGCTCCTCTAATAGCAGACAGCCTGTTGCCAACATCTCTTTCACAAGTTTATTATGAGGATCAAATGGGATAATTTATAAAAAGCACTTCGCACAGTGCTAGGCACATAGT